TTTTAGCCCGAAGGTTGCGGTGGAGAGGTGGATGCAAAAGAAGACTGGGAAACCCTCGAATATAAGGTAAACGACAGCAATGCCGACGAAGAGCGAGACGGTTTCAAGAGATGTATTTATTGGATCAAGGTTGGTTGTTTTTAGGAAAAGTAAAACTGTTCAGATCATGAAGTCATCTTGTGCATCTTAAGGCACCAAGCGATAAGAACGTAGAGGTGGAGATTCTGGATCTTCCTTCTCTATATGTCGACCATGGATGCAAATATTCTGGCCTTGAAATCAAAGCGAATTCCGATAAAAGACTCACTGGTTACAGGTATAACAAAAAGTTACGACAATATGAGAATTCAAAATAGTTGTTTACGGATTCAGGACCTTCTATGAATCTTTTTCAGGTTCTGTGCAAAAGAGGATCTCAACAAGAAACTCGTGTCGAATTCCAGCCTTGTCCCTGTGATAACGTATACCCGTCATAATAATGTAAATACAAAGCTTAGGTATCGTTACGTTTGAAGAAGTGATGGACGTCACAAGCGAATAAAAGTTTTGAGAAACTTGTGAAAGCGTGATGCCAAGCCCTATCGACGGATTTTATCGACTTCAAGTAGAGCGCAGATTTTCAAATCCCCCAATCAGAATGCAGTGGATTACCCAATGTGACCGACATGAAGCTGAAGAAGTGTGCAGAACAGCTTAATTTGAATGAAAAGCGAAAAAGTTCCTTCAAAATGTGTGATGATTAGATTAGACAGAAATCGTCCCTTGCTCGCCTGAGTTTTTCAGATGATATTCGAAGAAAGTCATGTGGGCAAAGGTGGATTTTTGTCGAGCCCGTCAGGAGGAGATAGCCAAGATTCTTATGCACTCATATCCGATAAAAATAACAATGTTGATTAAGATGCATTAAACTATGCTGTAACTGCTTCGCGCTTTCCGTTAAGAACTGTACCACTATATTCTGTCCTCGTAGTTATGCTTCCCACCCTTGTAATTACCGGTAATGTGGAGTGGGTACAGTGTGCTAACAAATTCGCAAGTGGCTTGGCTTGGGAGATTCGCGTTCTGACAGTGAAAGGTCAACCTGCTCCAAATTCGATCCCTCTGAGTTGCTGACATAATACAAAAGAGGCTTTGTGCTCAAAAGCGACACCCACCACCTTCGGCGAAAAGTTATGAAAAATTGAAGCTTCACGTGCTGACATTCTTTTTCAGCTCCGCTGGGTAGCCCTAACCTAGTGAACAACCATCTCCTCTCTAGTCCATTTCCGAAAAGTAATCTTACACCTCCTCTCGTCAGTGACCCAGATGAAATTTTATCTTGCTCACTGACGAGAGCAGGCCGCGGGGGGAATGTTGGACTCGCAGATCCTGGAAAGGACGGTTTTAAAACACCAATCCCCTTGATGTATTATTATGTATAAAAAGACATTCAGTTTTTTCTTCATCCAGAACTGTGAAATTCTACAAGAAAGGTATCAAACATCCATTCACGTGTTGGCGTCATGCTGCAAATGGTAGTGAATGTCAGACAATTATTGCAGAGGAATCAAAAAAAATTTATAACTGAAAACAGCCGAGGTGGCTCAGAAACTGTGCCGACCCAATATTATCACTTATCGGGGATGCTGTTCAGGGCGTAAACCAATGTCCCTCCAGAAGTTTCATTTTCTGTGTGGGCTCAATTGGAACATAGCGACAAGCACAGCTTCGATCCCAAAAGTTAAAAAAATTAACAAAAACAATGAAGATGTTTTTCTGTGAGGATAGAATTTCCTGACTGCGAAGGATCTGCGCTCTGCCTTGATTGGGCTGGGTATGTTTTGTTGCATGAGCACTTGAATTTTAGAAAGTCGTCGACGACTGCATAGAAATGATTAGACCGCCTAGATTCGACATTTCTTGTTGGCAAGTTTTCCCATTTGTGCGATCTTTGAGTCCGCCTTTTAGCCGGTGTCAGACTATGCAGATCGAGCGATTCGCTAGCGATTTGGGTAGTGCGAGCGATGTGCCAGCGAATCGAAAATGCACCAGCGGTTCGAATTATGAAGCTAAAGGTGGGAGGTGGTCTGAAAAAGAGAAGGAAAGCAAACGAAACCACCGATTACGCCCCGTACAGAGACCTCCCCTATTTCAGCCACATTCCACCTTGGGATAGAGAAGAGGCGCGTTGGACGAGTTTCACGAACCTAATTCTAGTTGCTCCTCCTTTCAATACCATGAAAGTATTGAAGCACTGGCTCCAATGTAAGTAGTTTCATGGGACGAAGACGCGGCACTGTTCAAATGATTGATAGTGATTGTGTGGTTTACAGCGAATGAAAGGGAGCATTACTCTGCCCTCACAACCAACCCTGAATGGTGAGTTTTTCTTCAACGTACCAGAAGTGTTCTGTAGATTACCAACAGCGACTGTCAGAGCAACACCTGCTTGGATGCAACCTTTTCGCCTTTACGCTGTCGGCTCGAAAGCTTTTAATATATGAGCGGTAACAGCATCGCACTATGGAGAGAAATTGTGAGCTCGTAACAAACATACCTGCCGCGAATCCGGGGTGAATGATACATGCGACCCTTGGTATGATTCGATTTTTCTCTCTCCTCTGCGCTCTTACTCAAGTAGTCTCAACAGTGACCGCTCGCCGCTGCTCGTCCACGCCTTCTCCTCTGTGAGATAGTAAAGAGTACATATGCGCATCATGAGGTGTTAAGGTGGAAGATTCATTCTGGCCAACGTTTCGACCGTCCCGTCGTTTTCAAAGGCCTAAACATGGCTCAAAGCTTAAGAAGTGCACACTACCCTATCAAACGCCTCCTCCCCTCTAGCGTTTCTGACGTCCTGTCAGGGACGCACGGAAAACCCAGAACTCAAAAGATAAGCTCACCTTGTTCCACCGCGAAGTGTAGCGAAGCACTACACTCAGTCACTAAACATTATTAGCAAATCACTTTGCTGTTAGTACAATTTCAGTATAGCGAACAATGTTCGCTGATTATGGAAAGACCTCGCAATGTTGCATTCGCATTAATGGCAAGAGATCTGTGATGGACTCGCACTCATTTCGGTGATTCATTTCTGGATTACTGGAAATCCTTAAGCTTCTAATGCATTTCTCGAAGAAGTCTAGGTTTCGTGAGCTGATATCGTGCACCTAATGTTGAAGTCATTGCCATCGTGCAATGACTTTAGCGGTCGTAATTTATCAGATTCAATGTGAGGCATGAAATTTAATATACCTAGGGGAAACTGGGGAAATTCTATCACCGCGCATTAAATCATTTGCTTGGTAAACGGCGCTGTAGTTTGTCGACTCCGGTGGAGAACACAGATTAGAACAGCATGATAGCAATGACTTCAACGTTAGCTGCACGATATTGGCCCACGAGGCGGAGATCTTGAGAAAGCCGTTGGAAGCATTCTGAATTTCAGCAAGAAATCCAGAAATGAATCACCGAAATGATCGCATGTCTATCACAAATGATCCCTTGCCATTCATGCAATATTGCGAGTAACAGCGAGCGTGCTTTTCCGCTATACTGAAACTGTATAAGGACTGAAAGTGACATCATTCGCTAGTAATGTTCACTGACTGATCGTGAGTGCTTCGTCACACTTCACGGAGAACAAGGTGAACTCGTCATCTAAGTTTTAGGGTTTTCCGTGCCTCCCTGACAGGATGTCATAAACGCTAGAGGGGAGGCGTTTGATAGGATAGTGTGCACTTCTAAAGATTTGAGCCATGTTAGGCCTTAAATCAATTGCGCGCGTCGAAATGTTAGCCAAAACGAATCTTCGCCTAAACCAACGCGCGCACGGAACACAGTACATTCGCAATTACAATAAAAAAAAATGAGAAGCCACAATGACTTGCGGGGGCCAGCCGATGTACAAGTCAGTGTTTTTATCCTCCCAGACAAGTCTGGTACCAATTAACCGACCCCGGAGGGATGGAAGGCTTGGTTGGCCCGGGCGACTCACGACCCAGGATTTGATCCCCGGACCGCTCGCGTGGTAAGCGTGCCACTTGCCACTACACCACTTCCGCCCTGCCACAATTACAATAACAACATAAAAATGCCGAGGTTTCACGATGAGAGAACTTGGAATTCATTGCAAAACATATACGCGCATTCTCCAACTTTCCACGCTGGTCAAGTTACTCGGCTTGGCTCCCAATCCGCCGCCTGAAGTGCTACATTCTACTGGCTCATAGATTTCTCTTTCCGTACTGACTGTACTGTTGCGTAGATGAGCACTCCCCTCCCCTCTACCCTCCTCCTTCCATACAGTAGCACTATTTCTTTGTCTCCGCGCTTAAATTCTTATAAGCAACGTGATTGTTTTGTTTTCAGACTAAACAAGACAAGGTGAGCCTCCTGTCTTCTCCGTTTTTGGTAAGTCATGGTATGTTGGTTCGCAATAGCAAGCAAAGGTACTGGCTGCTGAGGTCGTTTCGTTCAACAGAAAGGAACCTTACTTTATCTACCAAATGATCTGATTAATCATTGGTTGCGCACACTTCCGCGCCATCGCTGCTTTGCCGGGGTTACTTGACCACCCATCCTTTCAGTCAAGTTTTCTTTGGCATAGCCTGACGTACTCCTCAGAGAGCGAAAATGGAGTAGTGGCATGTGGCGCGACTTACCAGGCTCACGGCCCAGGAACCAGATTCGGCATCGTACGCCATCTAGGCTAACCAGGTTTTCGTCCGCGGACGTCGCCTAATTGGTCTGACTTGTACTGCCTTGCCCTCAGTTCATTGTGTGAGCAGAGTCAACCCTGCGTTGCGCAGTTCTCAACGGCCACGTTGCGCAGTTTCGCCCGATTAGACACGTTCTCTCGCGCGAACATTCACACTCGCATGCTCGAGCCGTCTGCGTCTCCGCCCATACAGCGTGCGTTGAGGATCTCTCAACGTGCCGTTGCGAACTGCGCAACGCAGGGTTGACTCTGGTGTCAGCCGGACTGCTACTTTACTGCTACGAATCCTGATGGTAGCAAAATGTGGCTCGTCTCCACAGAGATAATTATCGCAGGGTGCTCTACTTTTTTTTCATCCTCTCAATGTATCGCAAGGTGCGTCTCACTTTTTTTTTCATCCTCTCAGATCCTTATCGATAATCTACTCGAAGTTGTGGAGCGACTGAAGACGATAGAAGCGCAAATGCTGAAGATGCGTCATGAATGTGAGGAACGTGCAAAAATATGGGATGCGGTGGAACGCGAAGTAAAAGATCTCGAGGAGAAGGTACACACTTTCACAAGGTTTATGGCTACTGAGGTATCTTACCAAGGGAAGTTGCCGCGATTCTATCTGAGGTGGTGAGAATGGGTTTCGTTCATCAGAACAGCCGTACTCTGTGTTCCTGGATTTCAGACACCGCAACTCTTGAGAAGAAATGCGTTCCATCGCGGGCCCTACGACGCAACCCTGTCTTCCCCAACCTTACGGCAGACAGAATCAGCTGGGGACAGTACGATCTCTGACTTCCCCTATGCTCTGCTGCAAAAGGTTGGAGCGCAGTTAGAGAAAGGTCAGGCAGCTCCTTCAGCTTTGAAAAATGCCACAAGGAAGATTCGTTAGCTAAGGGGGTCTAGGCAAAGGAGTAGTGCGGGGGGACGGTGCCTTACGCTCTGCGCTTGAGCCACCAGGGTTAGTGAAGGTCGGTGAAGCGAGGTTGGTTTGAACAAGATCCCTTCACTTCAGTCCACCCTATCCAGGCGCTATTTAACCGTTACTGTGTTCCCACGCAGGGCGAAGCCTCAAGTCAAATATGCACCGCTAGGTGCTCTGCTTGTGCCTCGAACAGCCGACTCCGCCCGTCCTGTAGTTTGCTAGCCATGTAACACAGGAGGTGCTGACACACCTCTAGTAGTCGGTAATACAATCTCGTCGCCTAACAGAGACCAGTGCTGCGACTCACAGGCACGGGTCTGACATTGTGTAATTGGTGGGGTTTTCGAGAACTAGAAAAAAAGAACTGGACAACGAAAATATGGGGTAAAAATCAGATAATACAGACGAGCGTGAGGAAGGTCGGAGGGAGGAGAAGAAGCAAAAAGCACCACAGAATGCGCTAAAATCCCCTTCGTAGGGTCTGTGGTATGGAGGAGAGATGCTGTGCTGAGGGAGAGGAAAGCACGAGAGAACACGGGAGGGTGCAGAAAACGCATGCGCGACTCACAAGGATGTCAGCGCTGGCGACGGGCAAGGCGCGAGCCCAAGGTCTTTGCCGCGCACTTTTGGGTTGAGGTAGTGTCGCGACTCCTGTGCTTGGGGTAGGGTAAAAATCGGTCGGGGATCCGTAGAGGATTTGCTCACGCCTATTGCCTTCGCGTCATGCGCGAGACAGTTCGGCTACTCTAGCGCGTACTTCACTCTCCGAGCACTGGCGAGCACGTGGCAGGATTTAGTCGATCCGTATATTCACGCGTCCTATGGCAAACGCTTTGTCACTTCCACGTACGTACGGAACGACCCTCTGGCGCCTGGTCCCGACCATTGGCCTGAGAAAAGCACAACAATTATGTTCAATTAACCCACTGTTGGCTGCTCCTTAGTTTGCGATATAAAATTCACACAAGGTTGAAATATTGATTGATTTTGATCATTACTGATTTCAGGCCGTGATTTATCGTTACCATGTCGTGAAGACGCAGTCGATACACGATGACAAGCACTAAATTATGTGTGAAACTACAGTACTGTTGTCAGCCTGTCCAATAAAAACTCTCTTAAAGCTGCCTAACCGTACTTTACTATAGAGTACATCACATCAAGCTGATGGAGCTGCTATTTGTGTTTTCGTGCACTCTTCGCACACATCACTACCCCCTGGTTCAGAAACCAGAAGCGCGTCGAACAGCGCGAGAACATACATCACAAGTGACGACGGCATTTGTGGTGTGTGGTCTGCACTCGGGCAGGTTTCTGAATAGGCAGAGCATAAGACATAGAAGCGCTTGCAATATTGCTGGGGAGAGCGCAGTGACGTTAATAACACGACCAAGACGTACACGTTTTTCACAACACTTACAACATATGATTCGTAGTTCATTATGAACAAGAAGGGGATCATTTTGTTCTCGCAACTGAGCGTGAATGTGGGTTGTGTTGTGTGCTGGAGTGTGACTGTGTGTGTTGAATTGAAGTTTTACATTTTAGTGTTGTGTGTGCGGACATGGAGTGACCAACGAATCGGAGGAGTGTGTGGCTTAGATTTGGCCTGTAAGGTGAGCGGTTGGTGGTGCTCTGGGTGGGAGGGGACATGTACAGTGAAGCTGGTCACCTATGTAAGTACTTCGATAAACCTAAGCCTAAACGTTTGAGTTCCGAATTAGCTGGCGAGCCATCAGAATTTAGGCAAGTTTCGGGATAAAGTAGGTGTGGAAGAGCGTTTGCTAATGAAGCTCGAGGTGGGGAGTGATCTGGAGAAGATGGAAATAACAGAGACCCCCCATTACGCCGCGAATAAGGACCTCCTCTATTTCGGCCGCATTCCACCGTGGGAAGAGAAGGCATTCCACGATGAGTTCGGAGGTCGAAGAAAGTCCGCCCGTTTTTTCTTCAGGTGAGTTTCCCCTTCGACCTTCGAACTCGTCGTGGAACGCTCCTTTAAAGGAAGTGGTCACGATAATTCTCATAGGGACGATAAGGAAAGCTGTGTACTGGAGTGGATAGGGGTCCTGCCCAATGTTACAACACGTGAAGTTTCAGTGGCAGTGGCGCCTTATCAACGGAGTGATAAGGCGCCGAAATCCACTTCCGTTCAGCAAAAACCAAGACTTATCGATGTGGAAAGGGGTGCGATAAGAGCGTGCTAGATATGATACCGTTATCGTTATCGTCCCGTTTTCATTCTGGAGTGCACCTCTTATCAAGCAGCCGCACCTTCTTATCTCATCGTATCATATCTTCCATGGGCTTACACTCGTCCAACAATTACTGCCTCACACCTTATCGATTGATAACGCGAGGGTAGCAAATCCAGCGTGGAAGCCAGCGTGATCGCTTCCTTTAAGCGTTAACGGAAAGAAGGTCACCACACGGTGGCGGGAAGCAGCCGGTGAGCAACTCTGTCTCGTTGCTCCGTGTTCTCCCATCTCCTAGGTTTAGATCTGTGCACTTTGAAGTGGTTTTCAAGTACCCTGGAGTCGATTGCTTCCTTGAAACGACATCGGCGCCGAGGTTTTTCATATACCAGCGACGGTGGCCTGCTTCATAAAAAACTGATTGATTAGGAAGGGGAGAGATAGAGAAGTTGTTTGGCTCTTTCCTTTACCGTCACATCACTGAATCGACATGACCTACATGACACGATCTCATAGTCCGCATTCTGTTTAACTATGAATATCAAATGGCACCTATATTCTTCCGGGCAGGGGGAGGCGGGAGGGCGGGGGGGGCGGTATACCATGCGAAATAGGCCGGTTGTAGGTACACCTGGCACTGGGCTTGGGAGATGGCGGAGAAACGCTAGGGAGAAAGTCTGCTTCACGTCTTTCGGCCAGATCCTTCGCCTACCTGAGCACTTGCCTAGGTGACTGGACATGGCAACCACTTTGAACGTTCACTCCCCCCCCTTGCCACTGGGCGCTTCGTTAGGATGTAGCACTTCGCTGTATTTCGAATACAAATGAATATGAGGGTTGCTTTCAGACAAAGCAGGACAGGTGTGGTTATTTACTCTCTTGTTGGTTTAAGTGGGTATGTTACCTTCTAGTAACGTTGTGGACATTGCATTTTCAGTGAACATGATGTGGAAAAATGAGTTTTGAATCTGAAAGAGAAAGCAATGTTTGTCCTTCTTTTCGAAAAAATCTCACAACAGGTTGAGATGCACGCGGAAGTGCGGTTCGGGTAGCCGACAGGAAGCCCGTTGCGCGGCGAGAAGGCAGAGACGCAGACGGCTTGGCGGACGAGTCGCAGCCAGGTACTGAGTGATCAGATCACATTGCTAGCACGCGCGGCATCATCCGTCAAGCCGTCTGACGTCTGCTATCTCGCGCTGCGATGGAAGTCCTGTCGGCTGCTCGGAAGTCAGTAGTACAGAAGCGACATGGTGTTACATGCTTAACTGCACAGCATTATCATGATTTATGTGCTTTCAGAATCTCCTTGACAACCTTCTCGCAGTTGTAACGCGACTGAAGACCGTAGAAGCGCAAATGCTCCGTATGCGCAATGAATGTCAGGAACGTGAGAAAATATGGGAAGCAGTGGAACGTGAGGTGAAAGATCTCGAGGAAAAGGTAAGCGCTTCCATGGGGTTAAAGGACTGCAGATTTCCCTGAATATTATATCTGAGTTAGCACAAAATCTACAGTAGGCGCTGCAACTCGTCCGCTGACTCGTCGGCGTCTCTGCCATCTCTCGCGCCGGCACAGGACCTCCTATCGTTGTGCTCGACGGACTCGCCGTGATCCTCATAATGATGGTGAACGGATCGATCAATTAGACTACGTTCATAGTTTGCGACTTGGGAGATTAGAAGAGCCGGCTATAGGATTTCAAAAGAGTAGTAGAGTAGGATATTGCGCTGAAAAGATTACATTTTCGATTGAATCGACGGAGAGGTTTAGATTAGGCGCCTTCAAGCAACCGATCAATACGTATCTCATCTTGTCAGCGTACTATCTCAATCAACTAACTACTATCCTAATTTCCTACTCCTACTACTATCGTAATTCGTAATCTAGTACTCTCCGGCGATTCAATCATAGATCTTTGTCAGCGCACTCCGACTCTTACTATCGTGAATCTCTACTACTCATGGTTTTTTCCCAGTCATGGAATCTTTTTTGATTATGCGTATGCCTAATCTCAGAAGATCGCGAAACTAATGAATGCGGTTTTATCGCGCTAGTGTTTCGCCTGTTGCAAACAGCAAACGTGCACGTCGCCGCACCGTGACCTACTGGCAAACACCTAGAACGCAGGAACAAAATTGGTTCCATATTCTCGTTTCAGGCAGTCATTTATCGGTACCGGGTCATGGAGACGCAGTCGGTGCACTCTGATACCAAGCACTGAATTATCTCTGAAAATACAGTACTGTTGTCACCTTTTCTTTTATTAAACTCTTTCTGTTAATTGTCTATTTCGCGTTTCACTGAGGACCATGTATGGCCCTCTTATCTGGTCGTCTTCCGTGCATCACTGCCCGGAAAACTCGTTTCATTATGAGAAAGAACAAAATATTTATAAAGCAGAGTCACAATTCAAGAACATACCAAAGCTTTATCAAATAAGCACAAAAATCATCTCCTATGAGAAATGCAATATCATAGCGGTATGGCTACCATTTCCATCCTAAACAAGTAATCCCCATTGAGAAAGAGGTCCTCAAAACGTTGACGACAGCGTGATGCGCATGCGCTTCGCACCCTGAGGACGTGTGGGACAGCGCGAAGCGCATGCGCGTCGCACTAAAACCGCCTATTTTTTCACGAATGTGCTAATTCTTTTCTGTTTCTATTTACAGGTACCTTATAGAAGAAACGTATGATGACTATAGACAACGAAATTCACCGAATGGTCAAATATGCTTTATTTTGGTCAAGGTTCTCCGAGTTGTGATATGGGCAGTTAATGAAAAACTGTCAGCGCATGCGGACCGCGCGGAGAGGATGAAAGCGTCAACACGCGTTCTGGCGCACGATGCATGCTTGGCGCGCAGGCGGCGCCTTCCGATTGATAATCCTAATTTCAATACATTTTTTGCTACTTTTGCTCCCTAATGAACTCACCTGGGGCTTACTGCCACTTTCAAACACACTGTATGAACCTAACCATTCTAGGACAGTTGAAAAGCAATGATTCACACGAAAAAGAAAAGATTCTCGCCAAAAAACACGAGCAAAGGCAACACGACACGTGGTAACACCTGAAAGTAAAAATAAAACGTACGACATGAGCGCCGTGTTTTTTTTTAAATAACATTCATATTAAAATGATAGGATTTTAGGCAGTTCCAAGTATAGGCCAAGTTGCAGATAACCTACGTAACACTTCCCACCAATATGAAAGAAACATAGCTAACCTTTTGCAAGGCGGGTTTATACCTTCCGTCAGTCTTTGACGCGACCGCGCGTGCCCTAGGTTTGACGGGATTTTTTGGCCCAGTTTCGAGGTTGTTTTGTCACTGAAATCGAAATCTTGGTCTTCGGTACAGTTCATTTCGACGCACGCCACGCCCTCTGTGGGCGGGGCTCCGCTTAGCTGATGTGTGTTTTGTATTTCGTGAGACCTTGCCCACCCATCCACACTTGACCCGGTCCCTCCAGGCGAATTTTTTGAAATGTGGGAATTAACTCGAGCATTTGAC